ACCCATGTGTCGTTGGTGATGTCGTCCCAATGATCTGCAAAGGTCAACAGCCGACCCCCTATGGGAGATCTTTCAGGCAATCACTTCTGCCTCTTGAAGGATCGGCTGGTATTGTCCCTGAATGACTTTCTGGGCTGGAATTTCTGGCTGTTTCTGCCTGGCCTGTTATTAAAGGAGGGGCCCTGTCTGGAAGGAACCTGACGCTGTGGATGGGAGTTGGAGGAACCCCCGTCCTGACCTCAAAAGGGCTGTCTACAATAAAAGGATTGGCTTCGTCCCTCCTGCTTCTTAGTAGCCGGCTGCAAGACCTTCTGCTTATATTTGGACTCCACCAAAAGGGGGTCCAATGGGGCTCCGAAGAGAAGGGATGAAGAATGGGGAGAGGAGCCAAGCCTCCACTTGGCCCGGGCTTCTGCCTCCCACTGTTTTAGCCAAAGCAGACGATGGGGTGGAAATGGAGGATGCTATGGCCTTGGACACAAACCTAGCCCCGTCCAAGGAAGCATCTGCTGTGTATTCTAGGGCCGCTTTTATTTTGTTAATGTCCCTGCGAGGGCTGGAATCTCTGGCTGTTTCTGCCTGACCTGTTATTAAAGGAGGGGCCCTGTCTGGGAGGAGCCTGACGCTGTGGACGGGAGTTGGAGGAACTCCCATCCTGACTTCTAAAGGGCTGTCTGTGATAAAAGGATTGGCTTCAGCCCTCCTGCTTTTTAGTGGCCGGCTGCAAGACCTTCCACTTATCTTTAGACTCCAATGGATAAAAGGGGGTCCAATGGGAGTCCGAAGAGAAGGGATGAGGAATAGAGAGAGGAGGCAAGCCTCCACTTGGCTCAGGCTTCCACCTGCCACTGCTTTAGCCAAAGTAGACGATGGGTGGAAATGGAGGATGTTATAGCCTTAGACACAAACCTAACCGTGTCTAAGGAAGCATCTGCTGTGTATTCTAGGGCTGCTTTTATTTTGTTAATGTCCCTGCGAGCCCTGGAATCCCTGGCTGGGAGCCTAGCCTGGAGTTGCCTCAGCCATAAGAGGGCAGAGCGACTAAAGGAGGCAGAGGTACCCACCCTAGTGGCCCAAGCCGAGGCCTGGTGACTCTTGACTAGCGTTTGTTCTATTCTCTTGTCCTCAGGGCGAAGAGCCTCCTCAAGAGCTGCTGAGGCAGAGTTGGGGGAAGAAAGGCGAATTATAGGTAAGTCGACAGAAGGTACCTCCAAGGCTTGGTGAGTTCTGGTCCCACATTATACAGGCACTTATCCAAGGTATTGGGGAGGGGACCTGTACCTGGTGATGCCCACTGGTTCTGGATCACATCTATGAATAGTCTGGGTGATGGAATCACCTCCTTTTCGACCTTACGCTGGATGAAGAGGGGATCAGTAGTCCGTCTTGTCAGTCTCTGTCCCTTGAGGCGCTTTAGGAGAAGGGATGCCAGCAATTCTTCTGGCCTCAAAAAGGAGAGAACGAAAGACAGCAGGTTTGAACAAACCGACAAATGCAGGGGGGTCAGGTGGAAGTCCCTCATCTTCCGAGAGATCTGAATCCCTTGTTGGGCGTTCTTCTTCACCAAAACCCGAAGGAAGTGCCAGGGAGCTTCTGCGATGATGAAGCCGAGAGATCCCCATCCCTGCTCCTGGAACCAGAGGAAAAAGCAGACCTGCGAGGGGTAGCATGGTTAGAAGATCTGTGTTTAAGGGCTGCTGCTATGCCATGTTCAATGGCTACAGAAATTATGTCTGCCATACCAGGAGAGTAAGAGCAGCGGTATGGGGGGAGGGGAATCCCCCCCAATAGAGGGGATCTTCATCTGGAGTGATGCTCCTGCCTCCATCAGATTCATCCCCACTGCAGGCGAAGTTGCCTGCACCCCTGGGCTCCTCCAGATGAATGATGGAAGCTGCAGGAGAGAGACCATCCTCCGACTCAGAGGACAAGTCAGGTGGAGAACTGGTCTGAGAAGCCCTTTGGGGCTGAAAAAGATGGCCTTGCAGGGAGGAGCCTAGGTGGCACTATCCCTGGCCTGTGGCTTGGTATTACCCCTCTGTGACTCCCTGGAGGCCTTGGGGGAAGGTTCCGTGGGGGATGCTTCTGGGGCCGGTTTGCGTTTGCGGGTCCCAGCAGAAGGGGTCTCGTTGGTGGATAGAGGCAATTGTGGCTCAGGGGCAGGAGAAGAGGCCATGGCCTGTACTCACGACTTGTTGAA